ACGTGTGTTTTGAAATTATCCTTGTCAAACTTTTCGGAAAAGTTAAGTGTGCACATAATCTTTGAGCATTTCTCTTTTTACATACTCCCGCAGTTTGCGTAAATTACCTTGCAAGCATTTGGTTTCGTCAGAATATGAGACAGAATAGCACAACTTGTTGACTTGCTCGAGCTAAAACACCTTCGAGTGGTCCTAAATATTCTCTGAACTGATTTGCTAGTTGAAAAAAAATTGCTCATAACCATCACTTGCATATTGAACGGAAATGTGCGCTGTCAGAATCGTTATCAATTTATCCTCATTTTTTGATCTCGCATAAATTGTCAGGATGTTGCCTCCATTTCGCGTTACTGAAAAGGCTTTTCAAAGTTTAAACTGTTAGTTCAATTGTTGCAAGTTTAAGTGCTGTTATAACCTACTTATTTTTTCGAGTCAGAAGTTTTTGATTGTTTTCAATACATTCTTGACGTGTAAAATTGTTTCTTGCTGCGTGCTAATCAAATGAAGAACTTACTACTGCCGCGCTAAACGCTTGACAAAAAGTAACAGAAATCTCAAATGTTCAGAGCTTCTTGTAAGCAAGAAATGGCTCTCACTAACGTGAAAACCTTCTCGTAGCCCTACAATCCCCTCCTCTCCCCCCCCCCCCCTCCAAGCAGTTGGTGATTTATCATACCGTTGCAGAAGCAAATTTCAATATGGCATGTTGTAAACCTGTGAGACATCTAAGCACGAAATGTTAACGAAAGCAGTATATGCAACTTTTGTGACACCATATATGTACATTTCTGTGTAAAAGTTTTGTCATAATCAGAACAAGTGAGCATCAGCTAACAGGGGAATGATTAAAAATCGAAATGGCCAATCTAAACAAGCTGCAAATCATTAGGTGCAGCATAAAACGCTGACTTCAAATGTATATTCCGTATCTGCTTATGCTGTGGGCGAAGTTATCAGCCGTTGAAGACCGTTGGGTTTGCTGAAAAATCGTGCTTTCAAAGGTCGAATTTAGCAGCACAGAGTCATGTTTGGCTTAATGCTGGGCCAAGACATACTGCTACTTACTTTATATTCCTAAAGCCTAAGTGTGAGCTGAAAGGGCAACAATGTGCTCAACTTCACAATTTTAATGTAGGACTTTTTCGTAATAAAACTGCTAAAAACCTTGTCCGCAAAGTAACCAGATATGGAAAACAGATTCGAAATCAGCGTTAAATGTTAGACAGCTTGCCTAGATTGGCCACTTCGACTTCAGGCCATTTCCTTGCAAGTTCATAGAAAATGGCTCTACAATTTCTAAAAAGATTGATGGATAAAAGGGTGTTTCAGAAAACATCAGGAAGCAGGATGTAGCAGAGAGACCCCAACAAAACCAAAAAACTCTTTTTCTTCTTTTGTGCTAAAAGACGAGGTTTCTGTGTATCCTAAAAACCGGGACAACACTTTTTTCAAAAGTGAGGAACTGCGCCTAGATCACAAGAAAGATCGCGTGCTAAAATGCTGTCTTTCGTTTTCGTTATTGAGTGACTTCCAACTTTTGCGACGTTATCAGCGCTCTTAGACGTGTCATGTCGATTAGAATGATTTATAATGTTGCAGGGTTGAGACTCCGGAGATCTAGACCAGGGCCAGATGTCCCATCGGCTCTGGTCTTTCTCTTCTGCTCGTTTGCGTCTCCGCGCACTGCGCGCTACTTCCCCACCCCAAAAGCGGGGCACCGGCATTTGGCTTTAAAGTGCGGTTCATAATTATACGAACACCCAAAATTCTGTAAGTTTTCAGACTTTTTGGGAGAAACTCAAAAAGCCGTTGGTACCACGCGATAGAGCACGGCCGAAAACGGTATATGATTCATGAGAATGGAAATTGATGTCAATTGTAGGAGAGTTTTTGCGCCTAATGCGAATTTTTAGCGGTTCATAATTATACGAACACCTCAAAAAAAGGTCCATTTTTCATTCGAGATTGCAATCGTTTGAGTCCAAATTTTTTGTAGAGTTACAGCAACAAAGCCCGACATATCTACTACAAACTGAACCCAGTGCAGTTCAAAACGAGGACCGTTATTTTTTTTAGAAGGCTCTAAATGCTTTTGGAGTGATTGGGCTCCAAAAACATCCGCTCTTCTGTGATTTACGAGCTCTAATTAGCTTCTACCAAAGCTATGAGATAAAATAAGCTCCTTCGATAGGTATTTTGTTTGACGCTTGGAAAATCTTTGCGTTTTCGTGCCGTTTTTCAACTCGAGCCTCAAAACTCAGCTTCTCTCTTGCGCAAACATTTGATATGAAGCAGCTGCATTGCTTGCATGATAATGTTTCTGTGCCAAAGTTTTTGGGTTTTTTCTAGAACTGATCTTGCGGCTGTGGAGCTACAAACCAAATAAAGGTGTGATTGCAATAGTAAAAACAGTATTTCTGGTGAAATAACGTCTGCGTGACCAAAAAAACGCTCAACGCTGCTGATTTTTTCTAGCCAAATATAAAGTCTTGTAAACTTCTACATACTATATGTTTACTACATTGTACGGCTTCAGAAGCTGAGTTTTGAGGCTCGAAATCGTGCTAACTCTGTGGTAAGGTTGGAACTTGGTTGAAAAACGGCACGAAAACGCAAAGATTTTCCAAGCGTCAAACAAAATACCTATCGCAAGAGCTTATTTCATCTCATAGCTCTGGTAGAAGCTAATTAGAGCGCGTAAACCACAAAAGAACGGATGTTTTTGGAGAGCAATCACTCCAAAAGCATTTAGAGCTTTTGAAAAAAGTAACGGTCCTCTTTTTGAAATGCACTGGGTTTAGTGTATAGCAGATATGTCAGACTTTGTTACTTTAACTCTACAAAAAATTTGGACTCAAATAATTGCAATCTTGAATGAAAAATGGACCTTTGTTTGAGGTGTTCGTATAATTATGAACCGCTAAAAATTCGCATTGGGCGCAGAAACACTCCTACAGTTGACATGGATTTCCATTCTTATGAATCACTAGATGGCTTACCCGGCTCCGCCCGGCCCTGTCATTATTATATTCGTAATCAGCATGCTCGATTACCCCCCCCCCCCCCCTGTGCCAACTCCCAACCCCGTAGCTCAAATTTTGCAAAAAATCGATAAAATCGATATCGATCGATGACGAAAAGTAGCCTATGACACCCGCCGGGGCCGAAGTGTATGTGTGCCAAGTTTGGTCCGGATCGGTTCAGAAATGGAATTTTCTATTCGGAACATACGTACAGACATACAGACATACATACAGACAGACAGCCAGATAAACAGACATTCAGCTTTTCATATAAGATATACCGTTTTCGGCTGTGTTCTATCGAGTGGTACCAACGGCTTTTTAAGTTTCTCCCAAAAAGTCCAAAAACTTGTTCTTTGGGGTCAAGTCAGCTAGCTTTTACCGGGGGGGGCTCGCTGACGCCCAAAAATAGGGTCTTAATAAATTTTAGAGAAAGCAGGATTCTAGGAAATTGGACGAAGCACTTTTTCCTTCGCTTTGCTGGTCTCTATAAGCTAATGTCTATCTTCAGTATGGCAGGGTGTCGCGGCTCGCGCGATGCAAGCCACTCCTCGATTCAGGAGCCGGGAGCACTGCAAGCCGCTGGATCGGGCGCGCTATTGCTTTCGTGCCCGGACCTCTCCTTGCTTGGGCGCGTTGCCAAGTCGAGGGCTATATAAGGCCGCGCAGCGCGCGCCATATGCCTCATTGTTTCGGTGACCTCGTTTTCAAATTCATTTTGATTTTTCACGTATTCTTATCGATCGTGCTTGGCAGCACCCCAGCAAGCTCCCGTGGATGAAGTTCTTGCGAGCAGTAATTGTTAGAGCTTTTGGATTGTACCGCGCTTACGCGCGAGGAAAGTTTGGAGCTTGTTTCAAGTTTGTACCGGGAGTGGAGAGGGCTCGTACCTGTCCTACGCGGAGGCGAGTAAGCGGTCGACCCTCGGGATTCCCTGACATCGTATTCAGATTTAACTTGGTGATGATCGGCGGCTTGGGACGAGGCGGACTCGTCCCACATTTCTTCTTTTTCGTAGTTTAGACTTTCGTAGTGTAGTTCTTTTGTAGTGTAGTGTTTGTTGTTTAGATAAATTTAAGTAATCTAGTCGCGCTTTTCTTGTCATGGTTTATTTCCACCCAGCGGGGTATTTGTCGGTCGCGCCGGAGTAGCTAACCGGCGTTAGGATGTGCAGGAGTAGGAGCAGGATTGTGTTGGCAGTCGAGCGAGCAAGGGGGTGCTGAGCCCACCGAGCCGCAACATGGTGCATCGACGCCGAGCGCATGGACGATGGAGTACTCCGCCCGCGTATGGAATGGAACGGACGCGCAGATCGAAGACAAGCTGGACAACATCAGGACGCCGTTGTGGGAACGCGCCATCCCATCTTCCATGCGTGCGTAACGGACCTGAGTCTACCACGCTCAGCACAATAAGAAGATCAGCAACAAGGAGACCAAGGACGACAGTACCAGGACGACAGGAATGATAGCCAGGAGCATGAAGATCGAACGTGGAGTGGATAGGAGGCAAGATGGTGGCAGCTCTTGCCAACTTGAAGCCCCAGCTAGCAGCGTTCACTTCATGCAGTGATTGGTGCTTGCACGGGTTTTTGAGGAGCTACCCAGGTGACGGGCCGGTGTCATCCCCGGCGGGCTCGACCACTGGAACCCTAGTGGTTACGTGCGCACACCTGTCGAGTCGTGGCCCGAAGCTGGTCGACGCCTTAAGATCTCGAACAGTTTCGGTGAGCTGTTGGGAGCGCTATGGCACCGTCCTTCCTTACATCTAGGATCCTGGACCACACCGGGGGAAATCGCTCTTGGGCGAGAGCATATGGGCACCCCCGGAGGGAGTACTAGAGGGTTTCATTCTTCGGCATTTCCACCTTCTTCATCTCTTTTTCTCTTATAATTCCCCCACATTTCATAGGGTACCTCCAAAAGAGGGGAGTTTTGATGGCCAAGAGTTGGAGTCCAAGCGTGGGGCTGGTATACGATGCATGGATCGTTCCTGCCAGTCTTTACGGTGGGCTTGGCCACCAGAACTATGCCCATAACCTCTAGTACAGGCGGCGAGGAGTCGTGCATAGACGGCAATGGAAGGCACGGCTCTCGAAGGGTGGTTCAGGAAGCCCACGGGTTTTTCCCCTCCTATTCGCCGATAGGAGCCCTGGTTAGTTACCGATTGGCTTCGTACAAGTCATCATTTCTCCGCCTTGTTACTAGCGCATCTACCATCAGCGCGTCGGCCTTAGTAACATCTGGTCGTACTTGATGCTTCCGCCTGCAAGTAGTCGCAGTTGTGGATTACCCCGTTGGTTCTATGGTTGGGTTAGGTTAATCACTTCATATGCTATCCACGTCATATTTATCGTTTTGTTACTGTTTTGTTGTTTTTACTGTTCTTCTTTCTTTTTTTTGTTCCAGGTAATGTCGCTATTCGGTAGCTATAAAGCCCGCATCACCAAGGCCGCCAAAGCACTTCGCAAGGAGATCACCGAAGTCAACGAGGCCATACTTGAACCGTTGGACCCTACCACGGAGGCAGGTAAGGATCCTCAGTTCATTCTTAGTCGTAAAAGTTTATTGTTTTTGAAAGTTTTTTTTCTTGATCGTGCTGCCGCGCATTTGCGTGCCCAGAGTGAGAAGGCCGAAGAGTTTGCCCGTCAACATCCTGACGAGCAGGGCGAATTCCCCTACCTCCAACAGATTCAGAGCCACTGGGACGCTAGTGAACTGGATCAACTTTTGGAGGAGGCCGATATTCTCCGTCTACGTCTCGATGTTGTGATCAAACTCTTGCCGAGCTCAGAGGCCTTGTATTCTTTTCATGCTTCGACTGTTCCTCCCTCTTTTTCATCTGTTACTTTTTCACCGCACCCGGCCCAAGACCCTAGTTCGACCGATCAGCAGCCCGCGCAGGATGTGAGAGCGGAAATCCGGAGCCACTCTTCATCCCACGACCAGGATCGTCCATCAGGACCTGACGCTGCCGCGCCAGCTGATACCCTACTACCAGTACGCGCATCTAGCGCATCCCAAGGATTCGGCACCCCCTCAGATAACCCCCCCTACAAACCCTCCAACTTTTGCTGATCCCCTCGCAACATCTGGTCCCCAGCCGAATCCTCTTTTGCCATTGTCCTCCTCCCCCAATGTCAATTTGCAGTCTTCCCTGGAACAGTCGCTGAAGCTACCAGCCTTTGAGATTCCCACCTTCCATGGCGAGATCGACAGCTTCTTCGAGTTCTGGGACCTTTTTTCAACGGCCGTGCACAATAACACCAACGTGCCAGTGCCAGTCAAGTTTATGTACTTGAAGTCCCACGTGCGAGGACCTGCTGCGAATATCATCGCCGGCTTTCAATCTACGGCAGAGAATTATGATCAGGCAGTACGAATCCTGACGAATACTTATGGTCGACCGGAAATCCTCCGCAATAAGCTCTGGGACAAGCTGATGCATCTTCCGTCAGCTTCGGAGTCGCCGTTGTCACAACGCGCGACACTGTGTGCTATCAGAGCCACATGGACCCAGCTGCAACATCTGAAAGAGGACTCCAGTGCGATTGGCACGATTAAGATCATTCGTGCGAAATTCCCCCGGCGTACACGCGAGAGAATCGGTGAATTCAAGAACAAGGGAGACCCGATGTGGACAGTCGATGACTTGCTCAACACGCTGGATACCATCATTGATAGACTCGAAAAGTAGAAGATGCGGACCCATCGGATTCTCACTCGTACAACACTCAGTCTGCGATTCGCCATTCTCCTTCACCACCCAGACATCAAAGCGCGAGCCGAACAAGTGAAGCGTTCACGCGCTATCGTTCATCATCGTACTCCAGACGTTCACCTGAGTCGCGCACTCCATCTCCCCGTGGTAGTCAAGATAGATCGTCGACACCATACTATTCTAGGCGTACCTCCAATACTTCTGGCAGATCGCGATACGAAAGGTTCCTCAAGTCGCAGTGTCTCTTTTGTCACGATTTTGGACATCCGTCAGATCGCTGTAGAACCGTAGCCACCGTAAGACAACGTAGAGTGTTCGTCACTCGCAACAGGCTCTGTTGGCTTTGTCTGCACCCGAATCATACCTACCTCGATTGTGACGCTCCATTCTGTTCATATTGTGGCAACATACATCATAAGGCACTCTGTCTCGAACTTTCTTCCTTGCCTCGATCACCATCCCCGCAGAGCAGGAGAAACTTCCATCAAGACTCGTACCGATCTCGATCGCCTAGACGAGTCAATTTGGTCAGGAAGTTGACGGATTCCCATCTCGTACGGATACTCCTCACCCACGTGCATCTTCGCGCGAGTATCAGTCGAGATCACCATCTTCGTCGAGACGACAGCATTCTGTTCCATCATCTAGACGTGCTTCACCAGCGCGCAGATCATGCAGTCCTACTACGGCAGTAAGTAATAGTTGCATTTTTAACGCCTCTTACGACACCATGGACGAACGGATCGACGCACTAATCGACTCTTCAGACGCCGTAGGCGCGCATTCGCAGTCATCGTGCATGTCAATCCGTCAAGAGAAGTCAACTTTACGAAAGCCCCGTCTGATGGTAGTCCAAGCTACAACTACGAACACTAGGACCAACATGAGTGAACAGCTTGCTGTGTTTTTAGACAGCGGTTTACAATATAGTTTCATCCGTACGGCTATAGCTGAACGCCTAGGTCTGTCGCTTCGGAATACCAGAACGGTTGCGACTCTGACGCTCGGAGGACACCACCTTACAGAGGAATCGTCAGAAGTCTCAATTACACTCTGGGATCAGTGCAATCTTCCGGTGCAACTCGAGCTATGGACGCGCGAGACGATTTTGACGCTACCAGGGATCAACGACAATACCATCGTCGGTTCTGGAAATAGAGTGGAAGCTGATGTGCTCATCGGAATAGACAATTATTGGCGTGTTGTGGAATTGCACAGGAGCGAGGAACTTCCATCAGGACTCATCCTGTCGCACACTAGATTTAGACCAGTCTTTTCTGGTTTAGAACGCCCAGTTGTCTCCAATAGTCCTTCAGCCATCATCGAACACTCGGTGGAAAATAATCAAGGAAGTGAGCGGCACTATCCAGCGCGTCTGGTTCCGATATACTTAGACCGAGCGGATATACGCGCCATCGTCTTCCATATCAGGACACACGTTTCACTTTCGGCAAAGATACTTTACCCGATGGCAACGTAACACCAGCCAAGATCCAGACAGCTGAGAGAAGGGCAACGGAATGTTCGCTTGAGCATCTGGTACCCTCAGAGATAGAGTCAGACGTCGGAACGAACTTGCAGCGAGGTTACGAGCAGAATCTTGCAGAGGATACTCCTTCTCAAACATCCAGACCGTGAACGCAATGGTAAAATAGGCACATGTAATCTATTTTTCTTCCCTTTCATCACCTGTTTTTTCTTTTATTTCTTTCGCAACTTCTATCTACTGATGAGCGCAGCCGCGCTATGATGATTTTTCGCCTAATTCCATCCTTAGTCGGCCTTTGGGTCTCGACGCGAAATCTTCATCAAGAATACGCAATCGTTGATTCAGCCACTACATCGGCACTCGCGTATAGCGGATTCATCGATCGCCTTGTGTTCATCATAGATTTTCATTTTCAAACATTTTTTTGCAGTTTTTTAGTAATCCAGTAGGCTTATTTGTTGTATCTTTATATGTGTACCATTTTACCTTGCGCGCTGTATTTTCTCGTTTAGGTTTTGCTCAGTGATTTTTGTGCCCGTCTGTCAGTATCTTCTTCAATAAATTCAGCTGTCAAACGGAACGAGCGATGACTAGGACTAAGGACCTTGACGAGGGAACAATCCAAGTTAGAAGCACGACAAAATTTCTCTTTTTCCCTTTCTTTCGCTTTAAAGCCTATATCTATTGAGCGCCCCCATTTGTGCCTTTTTCAAAACTGGTGCGTACTTAGTTAACTCCTAAATTTTTATTACCTTTTCGCTTCTTCCAAATTTTCTCAACTTTTTTTTCAGTCCTTCTTTCTTGTGTTGAGCCCTCTACTTTATTATGTCTGTTCAACCCAACAGCGCAATACCAGCCGCGCTTATACACATTGTACTCCATTGCCGCTATGGATTACCCTCATTATGTTTGCTGTTTGCGTACGCCAAACCTAACGCACAACCTGCAGTCCCTTCATTTTCATCCATTTGCAGCGCAATTCTAAGTCTGTTCGCGCGCAGCCGCAGCAGCAGTTCGCAAGTATCACACTCTTAACACCTGAGCGCAAGCGTTTTATCGCGCATGCTATTTTCAACACAATCGCTTTCAGCTGTGCTAGTCTGCACAACTTTCGCTCTTCTTGATATCCAGACTTTTACGTTTGCGCAGGGACAAGCAAAACATCATACGCGGAACGCAGGGTTGTGTATGTGTGCTTCAGCACTGCCATACAGGCATTTCGGTACATCGCGATCACAATGGCCACGCAAGTACATCAGTGCGTTATTTAGGTCCAGCCAATCCTAATGCCTTCGACCCCTTCGCGTCAGCCTAGTTCCGTCGCGCGGGAGGGCGGACTGAAGTCCTCTCAGCAGTCCGAAATGGCCGGATTTTTCCACATATGCTGCGAATGGTCGGATCGAGCGCAATTTTAGGTTGGATGTGCTTCAGATTTGGTTGGACGATTTAGCTGTTCCTCAATGCCATCTGGGAGTTGACGTGCCGCGCGCTAGAACATCGTGCCTCCTCGCAGCGCGCGCGAATGATTTGTGGAGAGTGAGCTTATGTGTGACAGTGGTGAGTGAACGATGGAAAAAGGTTAGTGCGTTTCTACCTTTATGATCTGTTTGACATCGTAAATCGCTTCTACTTTAGTAACATCTGGTAGAATGGAGTGATCATTGGACAGTCGCGCGCATGGTTGGTTGGTATCGTTGTTTGTTGGTTATGGTTGATGGAAATGGTACGATGGTTGATGGTTATTGGTCACACCTGGCTCGCTGCTCACAGCTGTACACAGTCATCATAGTTACTCACTTTGTGTATACTCACATCATAGTTAGTCACGTCTAGTCATAGTCTCATTTATCATTTCAGTTAGTAGTTAGCTTCATTTAACCACCTCAGTTAGTAGTTAGTCTTTTTCGTAGTCTTAGTTCCTGTATTTAATCACGTTCAGCTATATTTAGCCAATTAGTTAATCACTTTCGTAGGATTTAGTTATCATATTTAGCCATGTTTCGTTCGTGGATAGTCATGTCATGTAGTCGCATTTACCCACTTTGTTTCGTAGTCGTAGTCGTGTGTGTATGTTTTTCCGACGGGACGGGTTTTCTCTTCTAAGTTATCTCTCACGCGCTCTACCATGCCGCCGATAGAACATGTCTTTTTCCTGTTTACCTTCCAAAAATTTAGGTAGGATGCATCCCCTGGGCCGTCAGTGCTATCACGTAACCAACTTTTCGAACGCTCAAGCCACTGTCTCGGGGGGGAGTGTCGCGGCTCGCGCGATGCAAGCCACTCCTCGATTCAGGAGCCGGGAGCACTGCAAGCCGCTGGATCGGGCGCGCTATTGCTTTCGTGCCCGGACCTCTCCTTGCTTGGGCGCGTTGCCAAGTCGAGGGCTATATAAGGCCGCGCAGCGCGCGCCATATGCCTCATTGTTTCGGTGACCTCGTTTTCAAATTCATTTTGATTTCTCACGTATTCTTATTGATCGTGCTTGGCAGCACCCCAGCAAGCTCCCGTGGATGAAGTTCTTGCGAGCAGTAATTGTTAGAGCTTTTGGATTGTACCGCGCTTACGCGCGAGGAAAGTTTGGAGCTTGTTTCAAGTTTGTACCGGGAGTGGAGAGGGCTCGTACCTGTCCTACGCGGAGGCGAGTAAGCGGTCGACCCTCGGGATTCCCTGACATCGTATTCAGATTTAACTTGGTGATGATCGGCGGCTTGGGACGAGGCGGACTCGTCCCACATTTCTTCTTTTTCGTAGTTTAGACTTTCGTAGTGTAGTTCTTTTGTAGTGTAGTGTTTGTTGTTTAGATAAATTTAAGTAATCTAGTCGCGCTTTTCTTGTCATGGTTTATTTCCACTCAGCGGGGTATTTGTCGGTCGCGCCGGAGTAGCTAACCGGCGTTAGGATGTGCAGGAGTAGGAGCAGGATTGTGTTGGCAGTCGAGCGAGCAAGGGGGTGCTGAGCCCACCGAGCCGCAACACAGGGGCTTCGGTATCTGTCTTCGTTCTTTTTTGCATAACTCCTTCTTTTGCACTTCCTTCTGTGACTGAGGATTGGTTGGTCTTTTGTCTTTTCTTTTGTGCCCAGATTTTTTTGTTCTATTTCTGTCTTCTTTTTGGTACACCATGAGTGTATATATAAATAAAAATAAAATAAAAATAAACTTACAAAATTTTGGGTGTTCGTATAATTATGGACCGCACTTTAGTACCTTTCTCTTCGTTGTTCTGAGCCCAGTTATGCCAAACTATATATCATATTGAAGCTCTTGATCTCTACTTTTACCCTGACAATGTTGCAGATCCCCGTCTTCTGCGAACGAGAAACCCTGCAGAAATTGTGTTTTCGGAAATCTCTTGTTTTTCTTCAGTTTAGTTTTTAAGCGAACTTCCGTGCGTTTGATAGATCTTGCTTCTTTCTTTAAGACAAATAACGTCATAGAGTATACTTTTAAGATTATTGTAAAATATTAGACTGGGGGATAATTTTTGTT